GAGGAGGGAGTCCAGACCGTCCTGGCCAGGCGCGGCCGCTGAGAGGAATGAATGTCCACATCCTGATTGGCCTCTCTCCCAGAGGTGGAAGTGTGGACACCCACGGATACTCACAGAGAGGCCTGAACCAAGTCTGGGAGGCCATGGGGACAGGGAGCTGTGGGGCCAGCACTGAGACACCTGGGTCCCCGTTTTTGCTCCTGCATGCAAACCTGGCCTTCTGTGTCTCCCCGTGTAGCCCTAAAGCCCAGCCTGGACCAGAGGCTGGAATGGACAAGCTGTGGTGAGAGGGCCGAGGGTCACACCTAGTGGTGAGTGGGAGGCATCACAGGCAAGACTTTGCTCGTGGGTTTCTTGCAGCCCAGGGGTGTATGGTGTCACCCACTCTCCAGCCTCCCCTCCCGTTTTTCACCCCAGGGCACCACAAAAAGAGAAGGCCAATGTCTCCCCATCAGACCTGGAGAGTTTGATCAATGTCTCCCTGGCAGGCAGAACAGAGAGAAGAAGTGGAGCAAGAGAAGTCCCAGTTTTTTTTTTTTTTTTTTTGAGACAGAGTCTCACTCTGTCACCAGGATAGAGTTCAGCCCAGTGGCAGCATCTCAGCTCACGTCAACCTTCGCCTCCTAGATTCAAGTGATTCTCCTGCCACAGCCTCTCAAGTAGCTGGGATGCAAGCACCTGCAACCACCTGACTAATTTTTGTATTTTTAGTGGAGACAGATTTTTACCCTGTTGGCCAAGCTGGTCTTGAACCCCTGACTGCAAATGATCCAACTACCTTGGCCTTCCAAAGCGCTGGGATTACAGGCATGAACCACTTGCCCAGCTAAGTTTTGTGTTTTTAGTAGAGATGGGGTTTTGCCATGTTGGCCAGGCTGACCTTGAACTCCTGACCTCAGGCGATGCACCTGCCTCGGTCTCCCAAAGTGCTGGAATTACAGGCCTAAGCCACAGTGCCTGGCTAGATGTCCCCATTTCTGAGCTTCCCCCAACAGGAGATTGGAAGGAGAAGGTTGTGGCACTAGTTGCCACTGTAGCCCCATGCCATGGAGCTGCCTTCCAAAGGCCAGTGCTAGGCACCTTGGGGTGGGTGTCATGAGGACACCCCGCCCCCTTGCTTCAGACCACACTGGTTCAATCCCCACCCCCAAAACACAGGTGCTCTGAGCTTTATTCTTTTTCCCAAAGCTGGACCCAGGGCCACAACCCAGGAGTGACTCAGAGAAGGATGTCCTACCCCACTCCTACCCAAATCATGATTCCCAACATTTCCTGCTGTGACCCCCATGCCTGGGGCTTATGTTCTCACTTTATAGATGAGAAAATTGAGGCTGGGGAGGGAAGGGCTTTGCCCAGGGCCACAGGCTGGTGACTGCTCAAGTCAGAGTTGGAACTTGGGTCTCAGCCTCTGCAAGGTGTTGTCTCTTTTGCTTTTTCTTTCTTTTTTTTTTTGAGACAGGGTCTTGCTCTGTTGCCCAGGCTGCAGTGTAGTGTGTAGTGGCACAATCATAGCTCACTGCAGCCTCAACCTCCCAGGCTCAGACAATCCTCCTGCCTCAGCCACCTGAATAGCTGGGACCACAGAGTGTGCTACTGTGCTTGACCAACATATATATATAT